CCCCGCCGCGTCCGTGAGCGGCGTGACGCACACCTCGCGCCCCTGGAAAACGGCCCCGGAAAGCAACTGCGCCACCTCAACGCTTCCCGCATCCTCAAACTCAACCACCGCGCAGTAACCCGTCGCACTCGCCGGCTCTTCGAGCCCAACGACGCTTACAACCCTGCCGCAATAGACCAGCAAGCCCTCCACGTCCCGTGCCGTTGCACTGGCAGTCAGGCCGTCCAGCCTCACACGCGAGATTCCGGGCATGAAGTACGCTTCCGTGCCCAACGCACGCCCTCTCCGCCTCAGTGGTGTGGTGGCTGCCACTTTTGCCTCTGCGGCCCCTCTCCTCCGCTCCACCTGTGAGTGGCGGAGGAAACAGCCTCACACACACGCACGAAGACTGTGTGTGACAGAGGGCGGCGCCACTATCGCCCTGGCGTGTATGCCGCCTCGCAAAAACAACCGCGCAACGCCCCTCTCCCGCCCCATGCAAGGAAACACAATAACTGCAGCAGCAGCAGCAGCCACCGCACCCGGTGTCCCACGGCACCCACAAAAAAAAACGCGCCTCCAAAGGTAACAAAGTTTCGCAAACAAAACCAGCTAGTTAGACCGCGCGCCCAGGAAAAAACACACACCCGACGGGGAAAAAATATTGAACACACAAGCACAAAAAAAAGCATATTACGTGTAACAAGCTTGTCCAATTAGCGCCACAGATTTTTCTCTTCACTTTGCTCGTTCACACATCCCACATCCAAAGCTCCTTCGATTACCTGTTAGGCCACAGTATTTACTTCTTTCATTTGTCCGTCTCTTTTGCAGTGGGCGGGGAACTCGTGGTCTTTTGGTTCCCCGGACCCATTCGAATTACCTCTACAGCCGCCCTCTCCCCGGCCACCATTTACAATAACGTTTTTTATTTTTATTTTTTGATGCAGCGCCCCTACAGCTCTCCACGTTGCCCCTCCCAGAGTTGCGCCAGTCACACCTTCTCGAGCTCCACAGGGTACACCGGGTTCCACATCGACTTCTTCACGTAGGCGAGAAGTTCGTCGCGGGTGCGCGGGAGGCTGTGGTTGGTGGCGAGCTCCAGGCGCTGCGCCTCCAGCACCACGTCGGTGGCGATGTGGGCGGAGATGTCGTGGATGTCGTCCAGCGGCGGGTACAGCCGGCCAGCCCGCAGGTTCTCCTCCGACGTGAGGAGGTTGAGCGACTTCGACGCCGCGAGCAGGAGCTCGCTGGGGATGTGCGCCGGCTGCGCCAGCGCGCAGCCAAGGCCGATGCCGGGGAAGACGTACAAGTTGTTGCCCTGCGACGGGATAAACGTCTTGCCCCCGATCACCGTCGGCGGGAACGGGCTGCCGGACGCGACGATCGCCGCGCCGTCCGTCCACTTGTAGGCGTTCTCCGGCGTCACCTCCGCCTTGCGTGTCGGGTTCGACAGCGGGAAGATGATGGGGCGGGGGGCGTTCTGCCTCACCATCCGCACAATCTCCTCCGTGAAGACGGGCCCCACGCCGCCGAGGCCGAGGAGCGTCGTTGGCTTCACGAACCGCACAATGTCCTCAAGCGCGAGAAGCCGCGCCGAGTCCTCCGCGGAGATGTCGGTGCGGGCGAACAGCTTCTTGTGCGGTGCGAGCTGGTCGCCGCGCGTCGTCGTCACGATGCCCTTGGTGTCGACCAAGTAGAAGGTCTTGAGGACGGCCTCCACGGGGACGTCGTACAAGTGCGCCGCGAGCTCCGCGATGCTCTGCGCCACGCCGACGGCAGCCGAGCCCGCGCCAAAGACAAGAATGCGCTGCTGCAGCGGGGGAACACCCGACAGCTTGACGGCGTTGAGGAAGCCGGCGGCAATCACCGCGCCCGTGCCCTGAATGTCGTCGTTGAAGCAGCGGTACTTCTTCTGGTAGCGCTGCAGTATGTCGAAGCAGTGGTTGTTGCTGAAGTCCTCGAACTGAATGACGGCGTTCGGCCACTCCGCGCTCGCCGCCTCCATGAACTCGTCCAGCACCGCGTAGAACTCCTCGTCGCCGAGGCGCTTCTCGCGCATGCCAAGGTACTCCTTCTCCTGCAGGTACCTTTCCGTGTTCGTGCCCACGTCCAGCATGACGGGAACGGTGTACCGGGGGCTAATCCCCGCACCCGCAACGTACAGGGAGCACTTGCCGATGCTGATGCCAATGCCGTTCGCGCCGAGGTCGCCAAGGCCGAGAATGCGGGAGCCGTCCGTGATGACGACAACGTCCACCCGCTCGTACGCCGCGTCCCGCATGATGCTCCGAAACTGCCCCTTGTACGTGCGGTTGAAGTACAAACCGCGCTCGCGGAAGAAGTAGCGGCTGTAGTCCTCGCACGCCTCACCGACTGTCGGGGTGTAAACGATGGGGAGCAGCTCCTCCAGGTGGGCAAGGATGGTGGCGTAGTACAGGGTCGTGTTCGTCGAGTGCACGGAGGCAAGGTGCTGGTAGCGGTTGATCGGCTTGTCGTACCTCTTCAGCTGGTTGTACAGGCGGGAGACCTGCTCCTCCAGCGTCTCGACGGCGGGCGGCAGGCGGCCAAGGACGTGGAGCTGCTTGCGCTGCTCCACCGTGAAGGCGGTGCCACGGTTGAGGTGGCGGTCCGTCAGGATGGTGGTGCTGTGCGTCTTCACTCGGAACTGCGACTGCGACATGGCTGGAGAGTGCCTGGTGGAGTGTGTCCTGCTCTGTTCGTGTCGTGCTACAGGAACCCTGCCCGGCTGGGAAACCTCTCAAAGTTGCTCTGGCTCGAAATGCGTGTATCCTTCTGGCGGTTGGCGCACCCACGCCGGACAGAAAGGCAACGAAGGCAGAATTGAGGAAAAGAGAGAAGTAAAAGCGAGAAAAGGGAGGGGAAAGTGGGGGCCCGGGGCCCGGGTGCCGCGCTCCCCCTTCCCCCTCCAGCCGCCGCAGAGAGACGTCGCCGTGCACGCGGCTCAAGCAGCACACACACACACA